AAAAAAAGCTCATAAAACCAGGTGCAATACCCACTATCTTCTCTAAGCTACAACCCCAAAACTAGTTTTCATCAAATTGTGCTGACCCTATTAACTTAATTTTCTACATGCTCACCTTTTATGACTAACAATGGAAAAACAAAACTGTGCAAATGTCTGTGAAGACAGTAAAATTACTCTTATTCTAATGAGAAGAGAGAAATATTTTCCTCCATCAGCATCTGCTGATTGTCACTGCTCCTTAACCCGTTGGTCCCGCCAGTGGCTGCTTTCTCGATCTCCCACAGGAGGGGTCCTGAAAACCAGTAACTTGAAATTTTAATTTCAGCTACCTGGACACCATCCAGCATAGCTAAGACCCACAAAAGCTATCTCAATCTTTAAAATACCTTTTAATAATCACAGTCATGACAACAGCCCAAAAATACATATCTAAACTACACCTATAGCCCCAACCAACTTTAACAACAAATCTTTTGACCACTGGTTTTAAAGCCCTTTCACAGCTAATTACCCCTCATCGACTAAAATCATAATCTGTTCCTCCCAAGCTAACAAATGTATATGCTATTACTGAAATTCATTCTTTTTCAGGTCCATATTTGCATGTACATTTCTCTCTCTTGCCACCTTCACATATTTGGGTGTATATGGACACAAACAAATCATGTATTAACCTTAATATATTTCAGTAATTTACGTATTCCCCATGGCACCACGTAGACCCAATCTATATTTTTCCAAGATGGATCTGGAAAAAAGTCGATCTCCACATCCTGCAAAAAACTCGGTTCTCCTTTCTCGTTCTCCTGGTACTTGACTAAGCGAGTGGTATAATATTGCACAGCAAAGAAATCGGCAGTGCCTTTGATCATTTTCTTCTCTTCTTCTGTGAATTCTGGAAGCCTTGATGATGGATAGCCTTGCTTTTTACTCATGGAGGCGATCTGGGACTTTACGACTTTGGGATAATCACCGTCAATGAATATGGGTTTAGCAAAGAAATCTAAATGGAAAGCCATGGCTCTTTTAGCAGCTTCCTGGTCAGACACTGAGTTGGGATCTGCTGGTTCCACCCAGCTAGCAAAAAGTGATAGGGACACCATGCCCTTCTGCTCTTTTCGGAATAAGGAATCATAGCTGTGCCAGGATCTGGCATGAGCCTTAATCAAATTATGAGCTGCCTGATAACCTCCAGTTCCAAAGTGAGGTATACCAGGAGGAAATATACCCAATTCATATGCAACCAGGGCAAATATGTTAGCCTCATTGATGGTGATCCACTGCTTGACCCGATCACCAAAGGTACTGAAGCAAAACCGAGCATATTTGTCAAAGGTTTCAATGATTGCCTCTGACAACCAACCTCCCTGGTCTTCTAATGCCTGAGGCAAATCAAAGTGGTAGAGCGTCACTATGGGCACAACCCCATTTGTTAACAAGTCGTCAATGATCTTGTTGTAATAGTCAATTCCTAGGAAAAAAAAGAAGAATGAAAAGAAAAATTATTTTAGTATGTTGGCAATAAACTTTAAAAGGGAGATGATTGATAATAATTTCCTAATAGACTTTTTATTAAAAAATAATGGTTATTGCTTCCTAGATGTAATTAATGAAAAGCTGGTAGGAAACATGAAGAATTCCAAAGAAGATTCTTTGATCAGAGTGTGAGAGAGTGATGGGTGACATGATTGGAAGATACACGTTGTGAAATGGATGCATTTGGGCAAATGATTATCACCTAACTTTGTGTTACATTCACATTTATTGAAATGATTTCATTCATTTGTTTGTATGCTTATTTTTGTCTCTTAACCTCAATTGAACACAAGCCCCATGATAGCAGGGGTCTTGTCTACCTAGTTCACCTCTGTATCCCCAAATCCCGGAACAGTACCAGAGATTTAGTAAGTAATAAGTATTTGTTGAATGAATTAATGGATTTCAACAGTATTAAATATAAAGTAAAGGAACAGATCCAGATGACTGCCTTAATGCTTTTCCAGACCTATTAGCCTCACAAGTCTAGGAAAGGAAACCCACTGAGCATAAACCAGAGCTCAGCATCTGTCCCAGGATGTGGGCTACGAGAGGAAATGGCCAGAGGCTTGGGACATTAGGAGTACCCGGCTGGGTTTTTTTCCTAAAATTCTGACATAGTCAAAGGGAATACACAGCCACCCCTGGCTCTCAGCTGATTCTTCAAGAATTTCATGTGTATAAGAAAGAGCTTTTAGGATTGCTACAGAGTTCAGAAGAATGTTATTAAGTTGAAGATGCTCTGCCTCAGAAACCAATGCTGAGATGATATTGAGTCTAGCCTAATGATTACTCTTGGAAGAGACTATCTGAGGAGAAGGTGGTGCCAGTACTTCATGTGGTTGTATGTTTAAGAATAGGGATGGCACCTAAGCTTGGAAAAGAGAAGCTGTCCTATTTTAAGAGGTTGTTTTCTGGATAAAGATCATAAAGTCATGTGTAGAATTGTGTTGCATTGAAAATGTGCCAGAAGGAAAGGTCCCTTTCTCTCTCTCTCTCTCTCTCTCTCTTTCTCTCTCTCTCTCTCTCAACTTAGTACCCACCAATTCTAAAAAAATAATAATTTAGACTTTTGCATGTGTTTTATTCCTTCAATTATTTATGTGTTCATTCCTTACAGATACATTGATAGAGAAACTACTATATGCTGGACATACAAACATAAATAAGCAAGGTAAATACCACCCTTGTCCTCAGGGAGCTTATTGGGAGGGGCTACAGATAAATTCATGAACAATTACAGCAATTACGTTACTACCAGTAAAAATAAAATACGGAGTGATTTAAACATATGACCAGAGGTACCCACCCCATACTCGGAGCATTGGAAAATATATTCTGGAAGCAATATAGCATAATGGTTTTAAGAATGAACTATAGTGCCAGGCTATTTAAATTCTATCCCCACTCCTTCACCTACTAGCCTCATGACCTTCGGCAAGTTACTGATCTCTCTGAATTATTTTTCCCCAACTATGAAATGCACATAATAATAGAAACCTACTTCAATAAGTTGTTATTGGAGCTTAATGAGTCACTAAATGAACATGCTTAGTTGGAACCGTTCTTGGCATATGATAAAGGCTCAGTACAGGTTAGCCATCTTTCTAATAATAATTATTATTGTTATTGTTGTTATTAGTGATGTCTAAGCTGCTGCTTAAAAGATGAATATAAATTACCTACATAAGGCGAGGAGGAAAGAGTGATCCAGGAAGAGGAAAAGGGGAAACAAATGTGCAAAGGACCAAAGAAGATGTTGGAATAAAGACCACCCAAATCAGCAAAACAGGCTATTTATTCAGAGTTTGCTATGGCAAGGGAGTTAGCCAACATCACTTGTGTTTGACGAATACTCAAAGGCAGCCAGGGAAGAGAGAAAGCTTTATAGTCCAAAAAAAAAAAAAAAAAAAAAAAAGAAGGCACAGGGAAGCTGGACAAGGGCAAACTAGAAGGGCACATACTATGTAACTGGTTTAACACATTTGGCTTTCTCTGGTTGGTCCTGAGTTGGAAGTAGGAAACAGGAGGAACAAAATACAGAGAAGCTGGCAGGTATTGACCAAGTCCTGACTATTCTGGGCTGATTGCTGCAGAGACTGTCATTTGGCTTCCTGGACTTCTTATGTGGGTCTGAGTTTTATTGTCACCTACAGGGGTACTTCAAAAAGTTAGTGGAAAAATAGAATTAAAAGATAACACATATCTTCCCATGAACTTTTTGTAGTACCCTTGTATGACCTGGCCATTGTTTGTATATTCATTCCTTTAGAAAAGTCTAGTTCTTTCTGGGAACTGAAAGTTCAGTTTAAGGAGGGTGGATAGCTTATCAGAAAAGGAATGAGAACGGTGGGAAGTAAACTGGCTAAGTAGAAGCCAAATTATGCACAAGCATGTGTTGTCTGTCTATCTGTCCATATAAGTGGGTATTTTTAACATCAGCTCATTTATTTTGCAAACTGCAACATAATGTGAATTGTGCATAATAACTCCATATTTGAAAGACACATTTGCATGCTATTTCTCACTTGGTAGGCAGAATAATTCCTCTCCCTCCCAAACATGTCCAAGCCCTAATGCATGGAATGGGTGAACATGTTACCTTACCTGGCAAAAGGGACTTTGCATATATGATTAGGGGAAAGATCTTGAGATAGAAAGATTTCTGTAGATTGTTCAGGTGTACCTGATAGAACTACATGAGTTCTTAGAAGTGGAAGAGTAAAGCAGCAGAGTGGGTCAGAAAGATTGAACAACAGAGGAAGAGGTGGAGAGTTGGGAGCTTTAGAGAGACTCAACTACCACTGTTGGCTTTGAGAAGGAAGAAGAGACAAGAGAGCCAAGGAGCGCAGGTGGTCTCCAGAAGCTGAGAATGGTCTGCCATTGGCCAGCAAGGAAACGAGGACCTCAGTTCTACAGTCACAGAGAACTAAACTCTGTCAACAACCGGACCGAGCCAAGAAACAGAGTCTCCTACAGATCTTTCAGGAATAAGGTACCCTGAAGTCAACTTTTTTCAGCCTCAGGGAGATCTGTGCCAGACTTCTGACATACAGACCCTAAGGTGTTGTTTAAAGCAGCTAAATTTGTGATAATTTGTGGTGGTATCAACAGAAAACTAACACACTCACCAAAATTTATGAAACTTTCTTTTCGTCTCTCAATAAAAGAACATTCCATCATCCCATCTCTGGGCCCCTACAAGCACGCGTTTCCTCATTTGTAAATGATATAGTCAAAGGTGGTATGATGGAATAATCTTGGTATTGGTATGTGTGAAGGTTTTCATAGCCAACTCTTCCCACTGGCTTTGAACATAAATATAATTGCTTTCTTTATTTAACTCATAAATATGTACCACATAGCACACATTTTGCTTAATTCTAGCACTAAGCCCCAAAAGATGGCCATTTTTATTCCCATTAAACATATGAGACAACTGAGATTCACAGTCTCGATGTTGTCAAATGGCATAGCCAACATTTAATCCCAGTCTGTCTCACTACAGACTGAGCCATTCCCAGCATGACATGCCACTTCTCATATTTACTAATGCTCCCAACCAGAAACACGTGACTCTGTTTTACTAACTTTAATAATCATGGATTCAGACTTCAGAATCACAACATCAGATTTTTTTTTTTTTTGGAGAAGTCATTAATGATGGCCAATCAATGTAATTCAAAAACATGATCATCATCGGTTGAATTGAAGACAAATAAATTTTAAGTATAAAATTTTTTCCTCGCTCATCAGCATGGCAGAGCAACAGAGCATTGCATAATTAATATTTAATATCTCACAGTTGAGCACTTCTGGCTTATATAGTTTATTTGAAATTTTTCCATGAGGCAATGGAGTGGGATCTTTAAGAGCAGAGCCCCAGACCCAAATAACTCAGTTAAAAGATCATGGGCAAGTCATTTGGCCTCTCTACACCCAAATTTCCTCTTCTGTAAAAGAGGAGTGTTAATAGTGCTACCTCGTGAGTGTTGTATCAAATGAGAGCAAATTCTTAAGGGGTTATTTAGCTTTATTCATTTGATTTGTACAATCAGTGATAACTAACTCTCTGAATAAATGTATATTTTTAAATGATCATCTGTTAACAATCTAGGAATCCTGAAACTCTGAGAGGTCATTTAGACCCTGTTTTGCTTCTGGACTTTTAGGACAAGATGGATTATTTCAAGGATTAAAACTTCTATAGCCTTCTTTCATAGTCAATACCATCTTTGTTTTAATTAAGCCTATTTCTGCTTACGTGATCTTTGACAATATGAAGTATTTTGAGTTAAGAGTTATTTGAATATAGGAAAAATTAACTTGGATTAACTAAAATATAAAGATGGTACTATGAGCTAAATATGCCCCCCAAAGTTCCATGTTTTGGAAATTTAATCCTCACCGTGACAATGTTAAGAGAGTGGCAAATCCTATTATGGTAATTGAATGATGGGACCTTTCAGAGGTGATTAGATTGTGATGACTGTACTCTCGTGAAGGGATTAATCCATTGATGATTAAATAAGTGGTCATGGGCATGGTTCTGATGACTCTAAATGGAGAGTAAGTGAGCAGGTTAGCTCTCTCTTGCTCATCCCATTCACCATGTGACACCTGCATTGTTACAGAAGGCTCTCACCTGATGTGTTCCCTGGACTTTGTACTTCCCAGTCTCTGAAAATGTAAGAAATAAATTTTATTTTTTAATAAAATTCCCAGTTTCAGGTATTCAGATATAAGCAACAGAAATGAACTAATACAGGTGGCTTTGGGGGCAATTGGGTGGTAGGTGTGGGGTGCAGTGGGCATGATTTAAAATGACAAAGAGATATGAAATATCCAATGACAGAAGAATAACTGCAGCTAAAACTCAAAGGAGCTGGGAAAATCTTTGCTTCTCAAGGAAAACTTGTCTCTCCCATCCCAGCT